CCAAGGTGACAGTTACGCCATCACAATAGGGGGAATATCTTACTTGCAAAGGTTAAAATGAGAGATGAACTGTGTCAGCTGAACTGCAACGAGGTGGTTAATACTTCTAAGGAGGAAAAACATTCAAACTGCATTCACTCATGACGCAGAAGACTTGAGTACAGAAGTCCTGACAAATTAAAGAAATTAACTGAGAAGAACTATGCAAGTGGAATAAAAAAATAGTCCCTGTGAATAAATGTTGAAATGCATCAGCTGTATAAAAAGAAAATTGAAAAGAAAAGTGCTTCCAAAGCAGAGTAACAGCAGAGCTAAAAACTTCTGGTTTTTGAGGTCCAATGGAAACAATGACTCCAGGAAAGAAGAGGTATTTTCTCACTTTTATAGATAATTATTCTGGGTATACTACACTATATCTATTACACAACAAAAGTAAATTATCAAGAGAAATTTGAACAGTATTTGGCTCAAGCAAGCAACAAATGTCAAGTGTACAGACCTGAACTAAATATACATGTGATAACACAGGCAATTCTCAGAAAGCATGGCATAATATTTCAAACTACTGTACCATACAACCCAGAACAAAATGAAATGGGGTTGCAGAAAGAATGAACCATACTCCATGCAAGAGTGGAAGAACCATGCTGTTTGATACAGGTATGCCAACCACATACTGGGGGAGGCAATTTTGACCACATACTATCTCCAAAATCGACAGACAAGAAAATCAAATTTGAACCACCTAAAAAATTTTGGAAACAGAGCTTATGTGTACATCCCACAAGATAAATGGGATGCTTGCACAAAGGAAGGTGTATTCGTGGGGTACAGTAAATCTCAAAAGGAATACAGAATTCTACACCAAGACACAAACAAGGTAACCTTTAGTGGAAGTGTAATTGCCAATTAAATTTCAACGTGTTCAAAATTTCATGAACTAACACAAATGCTTCAAATTGAGGGAAATTCCACATCAGTGTCACATCAAGATAATAGAGAGTTTTTTTACTGGAGATACCTCCACGTTTTGCTGAAAAGTCCAGTTGCAGGGCCCCTGAGGATGATGCAGCTTCTGTCTTTGTGTTGGAGACCTAAAGACAAGTTCAGTGGTCTGGTGGGGGTTATCCTCCAACTGTTGTCCAACCAGCTGGAATGGAACTTCTCACTGCCAGGAACTGTGGTGTGGCACTGGAACTGCGGCACTGGAGATCAGCCTATCTACTCTGCGCTTAGTCCATCCTTAGTATTCTCTAACATAACAAAAGCAGTGTATAAACTCTATTACAATAAACAGGCTCACTTACTAATATACAGCAAGGTGACCACTAGTTAGTAGCACCAACGTTATTATCTGGCACTGTGCTTGTGAAATAATAACGACAGGGCAGAGATACTCTGACTGTCACAAGGCTTTAGATATACACTTAGTAGCTGCTTAGATCATATGAATATTTGCATAATAGTCTCTCCTGGTCCAGGATTTAGCAGCATGGACAGGATATGTGGCTGAGACTTACTTTCTCTCTTTTTTCTCTCCAGTTCCTCCTTCCTCCGTATCAGAGTACAGGTTCACTGCTGCAGTCTTATCAAACTGTATGTCTTTAATATTGGACAGATGCTTCAAAAGTGTTGTGGTTGGTGGGGTACTCAGAACCAGAAGATGGACCTTATTGTCATCTGATTTTTTAGCAGTTAGGCTATCCAAAGGGAAACTATTTCAATTAAATAAAATGACGTAAATAAGCAAACACTCAATGCATATACTTGATCATTTTAGATTCATTTTAGGTTCACATAGATTGGATTTGTTGCTAAATACTGTTTTATGTTTAAGCACAATGCTATTTTACATGCATCTGAGTGGTGTTTCACCTGCAAACTCCAGCTCAATTGCAGCTTTTGCCTTCAATGAAAGAACTTTCCAAGTAGCAGGAATAAATCTTAATAGAACCATCTGCGTCTAAAGGAACGCAAAGCACAGCAGGTCAAACTCACCCTGGGAACAGTCACCCACACTACTCAATCAAAGGACACTGAAATCTGCAGACTTGTGATTAGAGCAAGCTTCAAACAAAAGTCAGATGCAGGAAACAAAAGCCCATCTACACAAACCCTTCGAGATTTTAGAATAAATTTAGGAGAATCATTTTAGTTTACTGCTATATACTATATAAAGTAGCAAAGGTTGGATTCCATGTCAGTGTACACCTTCTGTTTACACTTTTGCCTGCCTTTCATTTTCCTTGAATTGTAAATGTGCACAAAATGTGTGACTAGCTGTATTTATTCAGGCATAGATTCATCTTTCACATTAGCAAAGTATATATTTTTTTCTTTAATGTTGTGTATTTGCATGTTAATAAAGAAGTAACATTTTAATAGTATACAATAATTTGAGTTAAATAAAATATAAATTATACATACATTTATAGGTGCATACAACCATGGATTTTACTTTTTTAATTTTCCCTGTATATGTACATAGAACTCCATACATATAATCTTCCGGCTTCTCATTAGCAGACACAATCCAGCACAAGCAACATTTGCTTCAGTCTCAAGAGCTTTCACATGGAGCTAGGTTCTGCATACTTATATTTGCTTCCCTGCAGGGAATAGTGTATGTTTAAAAAATGCTATCAAAGGTATTGGAGGTGTTCTGTCTATAATTACCATGACAATCTTTATTGTTTGAAAAGTAATAGAACAAGACTCTACCTCCCCATCTGCTTTGTGAAATTAATAGAAAGAGCTATATTAATTATATATATATCCTTCTTAATTTACATAGTGAGACACTTTTGGAATGGTGCATTACTCATAAACAAGGATGATATAAAGTACCTATGCTATACTCATATATGCCCATCATCTATGGTTGGAATTTTCATCCCATAATATTAAACATAAGTATTTGTCAGGGACAACTTCATTGCACAATAGAGCTGTAATTACTGCAAACATGCAATAAAGTGCTTTGGGGATTTTCATATTCACCGACAAACTACTAGATTTATTATTAAATTGTGTTATATGGAATTAGTTGATATTGGCTTACTGAATGACTCAAAAAACGATTGTTATCTTAATAAATATAATGACCATTACTTTAAAGCACATCCAAAATCCTATGGTTTTCCACTGTGCCTTCATACCGCCCACCCACAGTAATTGTGGCGGTAATTGCATGTGGCAGATCCAAACTGGGAGACATACCGGCATGTTGCAAACTTTCTTCTGGTTCTGTGTGACTGGACACAGAATGAGTTTGGCACCTGATTTCAGCCAATGATTTTGGCTGATATCAGCTGATTGGCTGTGTCTAATCACACACAGTTCTGTGTAGAGGCAAACTGACAACTCATGGGGCCCCCGGGCAATAGGAGATCATGGGGCCCCTTGTGTCTCTGTCCACTCAAGCTGCACCCAAACAAAGCCCCACCTACATATTACACTGCCCGCAATACATGCGTTTGTCACAGAATTTATCTACAGTATGTTCAAAATAAATGTTTATTACATAAAATAGAGAAAAAAAAAACTTACAATAAAGAGAGCGCAACAATGGTACATATCAAAATGAAGGTTTTAATGAATTTTTCCTATTCCTTCCATTGACACCAATGATAGGGCACTATTCCTCCCACTGACACCAATGATAGGGCACTATTCCTCCCACAGACACCAATGATGTGGCACTATTCTTCCCACTGACACCAATGATAGGACATTATTCCTTTCACTGACATGAATGATAAGGCATTATTCCTCCCACTGATACCAACGATGGGGCATTATTTCTCCAGTGATACCATCGATGGGGAGCTATTCCTCCCATTGACACCAAAGGTGGGATGCTATTCCTCCCCCTAATACTAAAGATGCATGGTTTACTCCCACTGATGCCAGGACAATTTCTGATCCCAAAGACCACAGTCCGGCCCCCAAAAACCTGAAAGACAGTAAATTGGCCCTTTGATCTAAATTTGGGGTCTCCAAACTTTCTAAACAAAGCATATTCATGTGTTAGAATGGCCCAGTCTCAGTCCAGACCAAAATCCAATGGAGAATCTGTGGCCAGACCTGAAAATTGCTGTTTACAGACGCTCTCCATCCAATAACAGAGCTTGAGTGATTCTGCAAAGAATGGACAGAAATGTCCCTCTGTAGATGTGCAAAGCTGGGAGAGACGTCCCAAAAAGACTTGTAGATGGAATTGCAGCCAAAGGGGGTCCTACAAAATACTGACTCCAGGGGGCCGTCAACATGGGGGACATTCCAGTCATGAGGAAGACTTTTTCAAGCCACTGTATATATCACTGATATCTGTACACTGAGTGCTATTCCTTATATATAACACTGATATCTGTACACTGGGTGCCACTCAGTGTACAGATATCACTGTTTTATATAGGGAATATAGAATAGAAGACTACTATTAACCACTTGCCTACCGGGCACTTATACCCCCTTACTGTCCAGGCCAATTTTCAGCTTTCAGTGCTGTCACACTTTGAATGACAATTGCGCGGTCATGCAGCACTGTCCCCGTATGAAAATGTTATCTTTTTTTTGGGACAAATAGAGGTTTATTTGTGGTATTTAATCCCCTCAGGGTTTTTATTTTTTTGCTAAACTAACCAAAAAAACTACTGAAAATTGTGAAAAAAAAAGTTTTTTTCTTAGTTTCTGTTATAAAATTTTGTAAATGAGTAATTTTTCTCCTCCTCACTGCTTCACTGATTTGCGCTAATGAGGCTGAAGTGATGGGCACTGATAAGGCAGCACTGATGGGCATTGATAGGCGGCACTGATGGGCACTGATGAGGACACACTGGTAGGTGGCACTGATGGGCATTGACAGATATCACTGATGGGCACTGAAAGGCAGCACTCATATATATAGGCGGCACTGATAGGCAGCACTGACTGGCACTGTTAGGTGGCACTGATGGGCAGTGATAGGCGGCCCTGATTGGCAGCACTCATAGGTGGCACTGACTAGAACTGATAGGCAGCTCAGATGGGCACTGATATGTGGCATTTATGTGCACTGGAAGGCACTGATATGTGGCATTGATTGGCACTGATATGTGGCATTGATTGGCACTGATATGTGGCATTGATGTGCATTGATTTGCACTGACAGGTGGCATTGACAGACACTGACAGGTGACATTAATGGACACTGACAGGTGGCACTGATGGGGCTATACTGATCATCAGGGCACTGATCATGCCCCGATGATCAGTGTAGATGTCCCCTCTGAGGAATGCCGATTACTGGCTCTCCTCTCCTCATGAGCTGTCAGCATGACAGCTGGTAAGGAGAGGAATGCTGATAACCGTCATTTCCTTATTTACATGTGATCAGCTGTGATTGGACACAGCTGATCACATGACCGAGCCAACATCTTCGGCTCTTTCTGCTGATCAGTGATCCGCTGTGTCCGAGGGACACAGTGCACCACCAATCGTTGGAGTGGGAGGACGTCATATGATGTCCTCCCAGAACAAGAGAAACCCTCCCGTCCACCTGTCAATCCTTATATGGTGGGCAGGAGGCGGTTAAGCTGCAGTGCTGTCAGTGTCACCGGGGTCGAGGGATTACACACTGACCTGCTGCAGGATACAGGGCAGGTCAGTACAACGATGACTCCGCTCTCTTCTCTGCCCGCCGGTCCTGTTGCAGGGATGTGGGACCCGACCCTCTGAGGAAACTCAAAGAGAGGTGTCTGAAATGTCTGCCGCAGTGCTTCCCCATTGCAACACTTCCTTTTTTCCTCCTTTCAGCAGAATCAGAGGACAGACTGAGCCTTTCATGGGGCCATCTAGTGACCCCAGGCCCTCGGGCATTGCCCGAGTGCCCGAATGTTTACAAAACACAGAACTCAGTGTACAGGGAACAGCAACCTGACTGTTTATTCTCCCTGCAAAACAGGGAGAATAACAGCCATACAGTAAAGTAAAAGGAGCACATTGTTAGGCATATAGTTAGTCCTTTGCTTGTCCCTAGCTGTTAACCCCTTTCCAGTCAATGTCATTAATACAGTGAAAGTGTACAGTATTAGCACCAAACACTGTATTAGTGTCACTATTGATGTCAGTATCAGTTAGTCAGTTAGTGTAACTCCCAGTCAGCATCAGTCAGTGCCAGATTGCCCACCACACTATTACGGTCCCACTACATGTCGGGATCACCTCCCTTAGTTTGTAGATGCTATAATATTTGCACAAACCAATTATTATACACTTATTGGGATTTTGTTTAACCAAAGACATGTAGCAAAATACATTATGGCCTACATTTATGAAGAATTTGTATTTATTTTTTCACTGGATATGTTTAAGAGAAAGTAGAAAATATTGGGGGGGTTTTCATGTCTTTTTTCATTTATATCACAACAAATTAAAAACCCTTTGGTGATCAAATACCACCGAAAGAAAGCCCATTTGTGTGAAAAAAAAATGATAAAAATGTAATTTGCATATAGTGTTGCATGACCACACAATTGCCAGTTAAAATAGCACAGTGCTGAATAGCAAAAAAAAATGATATAGTGACAAGAGCTTCTAGAGCTCAAGTGATTAAAGCACGTAGCTCCAAAAAGTACATAAGCATCTCATAAGCTACAAGCTTTAAGTGTTTTTGTGCCAAAGGGAGAAAAGAAGAAAACATGCAAAAAACATTTGAAAGCGTACATCACATACATTTTTCCCCTAGTAACTAGCTTTTCATTGGATACAATTAATTAAAAAAAAATATTCAAGCCTCAGATGACCTCAAAAAGGTTAATACAAATACTTAGTATTAAAAAGCCACTCAAATGTGAATGCAGTCTAAGTCACACAAAATTTGCACTGTTGATGTTAGACAAATATGTAAAGTAACATCTTGTATTAGTCCAACATCTCAAATAAAATATACACAAATACCTAAAATCACCATGGGGCCCTAGGTATAAAGAAAATGGTATCACAAAACACATACTGTATTCAGTATACAACCTGAAACAACTGAGTACTGTCCGTGATACTTTTTTTATTTGCACTAACAAACAATTTTGAGGACAAGCTTTCGGGGAGTGTCCCCTTCTTCAGGTCCAAGCAGTACTAAGTACTGCTTGGACCTGAAGAAGGGGACACTCCCCGAAAGCTTGTCCTCAAAATTGTTTTTTAGTGCAAATAAATAAAAAAAGTATCACGGACAGTACTCAATTGTTTCTGCCGCAAATGCACTAATACGGCTACAATCACCTCAAGCAAAATAGTATACAACTATAAATTACACTGCCTATCAAACAACCAGTAGAGTCAATAAAATATCTCAGGTATATAAAAGGAACACCTGTCTGTTTCATGCTGCCTTAATGGAGGATGAACACCGTATATACCAAAATTACTGTCATGCTGAAGGAGTAGGGAACCTTTTACCCTTTGTATAACCAAATATATATTTACACAACTAGTGTGGGAATCAATTGTTACCAGCTGCTGGTATATACAATACAAACAGTCTTAGGATGCTTTGAATATAACAATACGTTCTTTATGCCTGTGACTTTCAATGACTTTTCACCTCATGCAAGAGGAATATTGCACCTTGCACTATATCACTGAAAACTATGTAGCCTGGGGTCTAAAATATCATTTCTAGTATTTGTTATGCAAAGTTATAGCATGATAGATGCAGTGCATTCCATGCTTACCTTTTTGGTGGATCATTAACATGGCACACATTATTTCCTATGACTTGCTTTTGTTGGAAGGGGAGCCTATTTTCAATATATGGTGATGTCTAGATTTCACGTATACCTGTGAAATGTAATTTTGCCCATCTTTAACCACTTGCCCTCCAGACGATTTAACCCCCATTCATGACCAGGCCATTTTTTGCGATACGGCGCTGCGTTACTTTAACTTGCAATTGCGCGGTCATGCAACGCTTGTTCATACTCACTCAGTCACTATAAGATTTGTTTTCTGCATTCTGCAAAAAAACCTCGTTGATTCTGCTGCTCTCTATCTCCACCTTCTGTTCATGCCCCCAATTCAGCTGTAGAGGCAACTCTGCTCATGCTCAGTTTTCAGTGAGTTTCTATGTTGAAAATTTCTTCCCTATCACATCTGAACAGCCCATGTGACTATAAAGTCACACGTGAGTGTTTATACAGTGGTAAACCCACATGGAAAAAAAATATATTTGAAATATATTTTAAAAATAATCTTCCCAAATATATTGCCATATATTTGAAAATTTTGGCCATATTCAATATATTTCAAAATATGTATATATACATTTATATTAATATATAATAATATTATTATATTATATATTATATATATATATATATATATATATATATATATATATATATATATATATATATATATATATACTGCATGTTGAAATGCATTTTTATTACAAAATATAAGAAAATATTTTTAAAAATAAATTTCAAATATACTGTATTTCTTTAAAAAAAATCTGAAGAATACATTAAAAAATATATTTTTAAAAATATATTCTTCAGTTTTTTTTTTTACATAAACAAGTAATTTTAACATATATTCTTACATATATTTGTAAATGCATTCCAAAAATATAGATTTGTATTGTTAAAGACATGCAGTATATTTGAAATGTATTTTTAAAAATATGTTTTATACATATTATATATATATATATATATATATATATATATACATATTTTGAAATATATTGAATATGGTCAAAATTGTACCATTTCAAATATATGGCAATATATTTGAGAAGAATATTTTAAAAATATATTTCAAATATATTTTTCTTCCATATGGGAATGCCCACTCCTCTCCTCCATACCCACTAACCAGCTAAACACAATAGGGGCGGAAATATTACATGTAGATTAATGGAGAAATCACCTCCCTCTTATTCTAAGACACAGGCTGGAGGGGTGTGAAATCTGCCCACCCATGTTATTTCCACAAAATAATAAAGATTTAATTTCAAATATATATTTGTATGCCAATTTAAAACAGTTTATTGGTATTATGTGCTTATTTTTACTCAGTATTCCATTGTTCCATTGTTTTTTGTTTTTTTTTTTGAACATGTGACCAGCAGCAGAGGACTAGAAGCTCCTCCTGCTTATGTTTCCCTGCAGACAGGTTGGGATGGAAATGAGTCATGTGAGAACTGTATATCGATTAGGAAAAAGGTACTTAGATTTTTTTTTTATTAAAACAATTACAGTGCCATCATCCACATACAAAAAGAGAAGAGATAATGCAAATTTAACAGTGTGCTTAGTATCCATTTTAGGCTAAAGGCAAAGGGTTTGTTAAACAAAGGGCTGGGCCCTGCCAGGGGGGACATATAAAGAGCAAAACAGCCTAAAACACCATTTGGAGGGAAGCAGCAATTTTAAAAAAGGTTTAAAGGTCAACAAAAAAAATGAGAGATGCTCTAAACCTACCTGTGCAGTGGCATACTTGTACAATGTAATAAAGCAAAAATTACTTTTGCAGGGAAAATTTAATTCCATTTAAGTTGCTGGGAAACAACAGTTTCTAGCCACTTCACTCTGTTTATAAACTAGTGGCTGTGAATTTCCTTCCACATTTATGCAGACTCTTATCCAGGATGGAGGTCTGATATGAGTTTTAGGAGGATGACCCAATGACTTCCTGCATAGTGGGCGGGTGTTGGGCGAGTGAACAAGCTATTTAGCTCACCTGTTTGCCAAATCACGAACATCTAGAATTCGGGGCGAACCCTGCATCACCCTGAACTCAAACATCAACCTTAATCTTAATATAGAAAGCTTCTATACAGAGGCAAGTTTCACCCTGGATTACTGCACAGATCTGGAAGAAATACACAAAGGACACTAATATTTAAGTAAGAATACACATACCTTTGCTATTGAGATAATGTTTGCTTATCCTGGAGTTCTACTTTATACTAGAGTTGGGCTTTAAATACATTTAAAGTGTATTCAAACAAAAATATTTTTTGTTAGTGTGGTTTTGAATGGAGCAGAGGGATGTCACATGCAATGTCAGGAATTTTTTGCTGCCGAAAGGGGATTGACTGTTTCTCTTCATCCTGGTGGCTACTGCCACCTGGACTAAAAATTAGTTAAAATCCAAAATTTTGAGCTGTCTATTGAACGGGAATAAAGGGAAAATCTTAAAATGAGAATATTTTTTAGGTTATAGCTGTCTCAGGGTGCATTTTGCTCACTTTGTAAAGATTTCCTTTCACTTCCTTTTGTGTTTATAGGACAGGCTATGAAGGGAAATCTCCCCAATGTAAAAAAAAAAAAATGGGTATTTAAACCATTAACTATTCTACAGAAAATGAAAAGAAAAGTTTTGGCATTAGATTTTCTTCAAAGCTCTGTCCCTGTCTACCAATTGTACGGCTCTGGTGTCACTCTGTCACACGGGCTTCCAATGGAAAGGGAAGCGACCATTACAT